TTGATACACGTCTATTCTAAAAATTAAATGTGTTTGTATAAATTTAGATTTTGTAGTGCTGTATGCACCGATTCTATAAAAGTTGTTACGCGTCTTAAATTTTTCTGGCAAAAGTAATGAAAGTTAAAATAGTAGACTACATCAGTTTCTATGCCGGAATTTCCAAAATCCAATATGAGCACATTTATCAATTTAAACAGAACTAAAATGATCCAATTAAATTTTCAAGTAAGCGGAGTTGTTTGTTCTATATTACTGCTAAATATGAATTAATTCAGCGGAAAGTGGAAAATTATTTTATATTTTTGTCCTTATATTAATGTTTGTACACTATATTCCCTCAAGTTTCAAGGGGTTTTAACCCGTGCTGTGCTTATCATTTTACATTCTTAAGGGCTTTTTGACCCATCGGATTACCACAAAAGCATTTGCAATCATTTAAAATTTCTTTATCAAGAAAGTATTGGTTGGAAAAATAGTCAGTCATCAGCTGCTGACAAGGGATTAAAGTAATTGCCTGATTACACCATCTATAACAGAATTCCACACTCGTTCGCCATGCATTAACAGCAAAATCTGTTAATTTATTTGGCAGTCCCTTAACTTATAACGCTGATAATTGTTCCTTCCTCCGGGCTACAAAGAAGCTTCAAAGTGGAGATCGTATATCCTTTTGATGCTTTTGAAAAGATGGGGACCCCTTGCCAAATTCCATGTGACTGATTTACTTCCCACCCTATTATAGCTTTACCTTCTCTCCAAGCCAATTTAATCACAGTAACTGAAATCTTTAAATTATAGGCAGCTATCACCTGACAGCCCTTTTATATAGCTGTTTCTGTAATGCCTGGTAGTGCCTTTAAATATCCATATGTTCCACTTGCCTTGATTGAACAGGATAAGTACGTGTTGATGTCGCTGGCCATACTCTGCGTCATCAGCATCTGGCATGCAGTCATCACTATTCTCACTATAAGCGCGCCCTCCCTGTCAAACGGCACCCTTTCTCAATCCCTTGCCAACGCTTCCGATCTGCTCAGTTCTTCCGACAAGACCAGCATCCTAGCGGGCGTTGCCAACAGTCATCCAAAAAGTCAGCCGACCGACGGAAGTCCGAATATAGGTATGTTTTGCTCTCCACTCAAAAGCAGAACGATCTAGGTAAATATATTTCCCTTCGCGATGACATACTAATGTGGGTACAGGACTGGTACCGCGTCGATTATTGCTCGAAAAATCGCTGATGCATCGGAGTTTGTGACCGAATTATTTAATGCCGGTCGTTGTGAGACGGTCTATCAGGATTTTAGGCTCACATTCTGATGCAAATATGGACTACTGTACTCAGCCCTAGAGTCAGAGCAAATCAGTCAAAATCACTCACTTTGGGTCTTTGGTATTTCCTGTTATTGCTGGCCGGGTAGAATCCGTGACACATCACATGTAGATATAAAAACCTCTAAACAGAGCATTTCATGCAAGATTTTGTAGCGACGGACCTGTATACGCTACCTTCAAACCAGAACGGGATGTCTATAGTGCGTTCTGCCGTTACGCTACGTTGGGAAACAACACTACCAAGTTACTTACTAGTCATTGGCCTTTATTGTTGACTGGTTTACAACCTAATTTTCGTAGGCTTTTCATAGCACTCTTAGGAATTGGCACAAAAACGAAGATTGCAACGGAGACTTCAGCTCTGTGGTCAATCCACACTGCCAGCCGAACTTGTCTCCTCTAATTCTAAACACTGCGGTGACTCAACGTTTCACTTGTCAACATACCTAGAAAAAGACTGTTACTTTGCGCAATCTTAATTGACATTTTCCTACCAGAATGTCCCTTGAAGCTGGTTTTTACCATAGTTGCCCAAAATGCAGTAAGAGGATTTTTAAGGTCACTACACTGGATATTCCTGTGGGAGTAAGATGAATTTTTCTGGCGCATCTTCACTTGACAGTTAATAGGTAGAGCAGCATTTAGAGGATAGATAGATATCATTTTATGCCGTTTACCGATGCATTTCAGTTAAGGGTGAATTATTTTATGATTCTTTGTTGTGTGGAAGAGAAACTAACTGTGGTCCTGTGAATTTTAATGAAATGTATACATTCTAGATAGACTTTGACATATTGTCCCCTACGATCCAGCCGTATAACTTTTATACCATCTTATCACTTCCTCTCCACGCTGCGGACCGACGTTAATCATTCCAAAAAGTGTTAGGTGTGTAAAATGACTCAATAAGTTTTCATCATATGTGCGATTATTACTTCCGGCAGATGGCTAAAAAGGGATGAACGTCGTAGATAGAATAATTGATGTCTACCTCCCAAAAATTAAACGTTAATTTTTCGTTTTAACCAGTGCACTTTATTTGCCCGGTTATAACTTAACCAAGTTCGCGGTTTATCTTATATCAAAATCCTGTTTCTCTTTTTATGTTGCTGAGATGGATTGAGCTTGTTGGAATCGGTGCAAGCAAAACTAGAGAATTGTCTACTTTTTGAATAACATAGGACACATAACTTTGAGTAAATGTGCTACCTCATGAAATGGTAACCGAAATTCCAAAATGTGTTTTCAATTTAAAAAAATATTATTTTGAGGCAAATTATAATACTGATTATGCTGCAGCAAAATCGGTGCATGATTT